GAGGCACTTGATCTTGCATTTTTTCCCACCAGCCAGCTCACATTTGAAAGCCCCCACACAGTGGACGGGAGCTTCAGAGACCGGGGTGGGGAAAGGGGCCAGCATCTGTCTTTATTTGGTTTTCCAAGTGGTTCCCCGGAGGTGGTCCATAGTACTCACAAACTCTTTGAAAATATCAGCAGCGAGCAAGTGCAGGTGTTGAGCGCGCAGGACTGCGTTGGCAAAAAGGCTGGAGAGGGGCATGGAGTGGAAGGTGACAGCTCCCTCCGGCCATTGCAGGACCAGGATGACCAAAGCAAGGACAAAGTGAGGAGGAGGGCCAGATCCTGCCAAAGACAAGGAAAGGGGTTGAGCTGTGGAGACCCAAGCAGACTCCTCTCCACAGCCTCAGCGCCTCTGGAAGTTACTGGAAATATGCATTGCCAGCCTAACCCAGCAGCTACATTAAAGTAACGCCCCCTGCAAGACTGAGGATCCTTTACTAGAGAGAGAAGGTTTTTATTGTATTTAGGAGACCCAAGCAGACTCCTCTCCACAGCCTCAGCGCCTCTGGAAGTTACTGGAAATATGCATTGCCAGCCTAACCCAGCAGCTACATTAAAGTAACGCCCCCTGCAAGACTGAGGATCCTTTACTAGAGAGAGAAGGTTTTTATTGTATTTAGCCATAGACCATTACAAACCACAAACAGAGAAGAATGCAATAAAACATAGAAAATTGTATAAAATAAGATACAGTCTAAAACATTATAAATCCATAAAACTGAGGTTATAAACAGTTAATTAATTCACAACACTAAAATCAGTATTAGCTAGGAACAGCGTTGGCCCGTATTTTCCTTGCAGCCAAGGCAAATAGAGCCATTCTATTGGATACATCGGCATTGGCATCGGCTAGCAAAAATATAATCTTCTCTGGGACTGAGTAAAAGCTTAAAACTGGTAAAATACCAGATAAAATTTTTGACCTAGGCTAGGAATACAATGGGCAATCAAAAATGTAATGGGAGAGATCCTCAATAGCAGAAGAGCAACAAATACATAAACGTTGTGCCTTGGGTGTTCTACTATAGCGGCCGACCAGTACGGCCGTGGGCATTGATTCAAAGCGCAGAGATGTAAAAGCTGCTCTAAGGTTATGGTTATCTATATTCACCAGGTAAGGTGATCTAAAATGATCATTCTTAAATGATTTAAACCAGGTAGCAGACTGTGATTTTAAAATTGACTGTCTATCTAACAGAGCATCATGCTTAAATACCCATTTAGTGAGATCTGAGTTATTTGTTGAAGACAAAAGCCTTGGGTGTTCTACTATAGCGGCTGACCAATATGGCCGTAGGCGTTGATTCAAAGCGCAGAGATGTAAAAGCTGCTCTAAGGTTATGATTATCTATATTAACCAGGTAAGGTGATCTAAAATGATCATTCTTAAATGATTTAAACCAGGTAGCAGACTGTGATTTTAAAATTGACTGTCTATCTAACAGAGCATCATGCTTAAATACCCATTTAGTGAGATCTGAGTTATTTGTTGAAGAACTAAGGAGGTCATCAGGAATGGAATATCTTAATAGTAGGTTATTGAGAAAACAATGACAATCTAAGTCTTTGGATAGCTTTGAATTAAAGGCCAGTTGGCTAAATGAATCAGTGCTAGCAGCTCTGATTTTCTTCCAAGATTTTAGAATCGCAAGATACACCCGCGCCCTTAGGGAAGGCTGCTTTCATCAGGGCAACTGGTGTTCCCTTAGGAAGAGCCAAGATACGCCTTCAAAACTGATTTTGAATTGTTTCAATACTAGTGAGTATATCCTCTTTCCATCCCCAAACCTCGGCACCATACAAGAGGTGGGGAATGACCTTACTTTTAAATAATTTTATAACAGGATCAATAAGAAAACCTCCCTTGGTGTAATAGAACTTCAAAATGGATCCCACAATCCTCGTCGCAGATGCTTTTACTATGACTATATGAGCGTTCCAGTTCAGATTCTCCCTAAATGTAATCCCTAAATACTTAAAGGTACTACTCTGATTTACTGAATTGCCAAGAATGCTCTAGGAGGAAATTTGAGCTCTTTTTCTAAAGACCATCACTTTGGTTTTATCAAAGTTAATATTAAGGGTCTCTTCCTTGCAATACATTCCTAATTGCTGCAAGGATCCTTTACTAGTAGAGACATTTTGCTAAAGCTGAGCCGCTCCATAGATCTGTTATGAAGCGCGGCAATCATCATTTGAGAGAATGAAGCTAAATTTTACTCAGTCTGGCTGAGTAAAATCTTGCAGTCAGTCTTCGGAAGGCCTCCGTTCTTTTTGCAAACCATCCACGGTTGTTAAACCTGAGCTGTTGTATCATCTAGAAGGAACGTTTTCCAAGTACTCTTTATTGGGACTCACCTCTTTCCATATGAATGAATCCCAAACTTTGCTAGACCTGAGCTGTTCAGTCATGTAGCTTTCTGCTAAGCCTCTCAGGTCTCGCTTATACCCAGAATTGAAATTTGTTGGTCTTGAAAGTGCCACTGGCCTCAAAACTTTGTTCTCACATCTGCTGTTGTTGAGCTCTTGTATTTGTAGTCTAATTTACTGCCATTCACAGATTTTAACGACCGCCTGAATCCAATCTCAGCTGTAATCACCCAGTTACTTATGCATCTTGATTCTAACTAGCCCTTCCTGGCTACTAACTCTCCACCCTCTCTCTTCCTGTATGTAATGGTTGAGGAGATTCTGTTTCATTGTATCTGAAGAAGTGTGCTTGCACACGAAAGCCTATGCCAGTGGTGGCGAACCTAGGGCACGGGTGCCAGAGGTGGCACTCAGTGCCCTCTCTGTGGGCACGTGTGCCATCGCCCCAGCCAGGCCCAGACCGTTATTAAAGTGTGGGATTCTCTGCCAAATAATTTTAAGTCAATGAAAACATTTGGGATTGCTTTCCTTACTTTGTTTGGATCATCTTTGTTATGTATTGAGATGTATATAACTGCCTTGTGAACTGTGCCATTGAGATGCCATGTTAAGCTTCGCCCTGGGCTAGGATCCTAATGTAACCAATAGGAGCCCTAGCCCAGAATATGTTTGCCAATCACCGTGCAGAGCGGGATCGCTTGTGATTGGTCCTTATTGCTTCAACCTCATAGGTTGCTTATTGTACAGTAGGTGTGGCTACATTAGCCGGGAATGTTTAAATACAGAGCAGCCAGTGCTTGTCCTCTGGCTCGAGTGGTTCGAATGATGGACCTGGCTGGCGATCGTTGTACCGAGTACGGAGAAGTAACAGAGCTGAAGAATAAACCGCATTCTTGCTGAATCACTCTCCGACTTCTTTGTTAAGCGCACGACTTAACAATCTTAAGTTAATGTATGAGTTGGTTTCTCTAAAGTAAAACCTCAGTATTCAGGTTAAATTGCCGTGTTGGCACTTTGTGATAAATAAGTGGGTTTTGGGTCACAGTTTGGGCACTCGGTCTCTAAAAGGTTCGCCATCACTGGCCTATGCCCAGAATAAAACTTTGTATTAACGCTTCACCCGCTCTGAATTAGTATGGGGAGGATTTCACGGAGATGCCTGGTCATAGGTAGAAAGCAGGCTTGGCTGCAGTTCAGTGTGGACCCCTAGATTCATCTCGTTTCCTCGACGATTTTGCAGGAGCAGAGATGGAGGAGCTCAACAGCCTCTTCAAAGTACATCCAGGCTCCAGTACAAATAATGGTTTGTGCTGGTGGATTTGGAGTCGCCCTTCTTAGCTGGATTGGTCTAGCGTTTTTATCCATCTTACACGGTCAAGGCCTGAGATTCTTCAACCGGAGGGGCTGGGCTTTCACAAGGCACCTTCTGTACACCATTACAAAGGAGCTGTGGCCAGTGTTCCCTCTAAGCTGAGGGAGTGTGAGCTAGCTCACAGTTTCTTAGCCTCCAGCTCACACATTTTTGCGTTAGCTCAGGAAGGATGGCCCCAGAGCAAACTTAATATATTCAGCAGCCAAATCACTCACTCACAACCAGTGTTCCCTCTAAGCTGAGTTAGTGTGAGTTAGCTCACAGTTTTTTAGCCTCCGGCTCACACATTTTCGTCTTGGCTCAGGAAGGACAGCTCCAGAGCAAACTAATTTATACAGCAGCCAAATTGCTCGCTCACAACTTCAGTGCCAGTAGCTCACAAAGTAGAATTTTTGCTCACCAGACTCCACGGCTGAGAGGGAGCGTCGGCTGTGGCCCCTCTCAGCACGTTCACTGAGCCACTCAACTGGATTCCACATGCTGTGTACACTGACCAGGCACAGGTGTCAGAGGCAACCACCAGCAGGGGATGAATGAGGGGGCCATTTCCAGGTTTTGGAGCCCTGAAGATGATCCTCCCCCCCCCAGGTACACTGCAGCTGTCCTGTCCCACTCTTATTCCACCCCATTTCTCACCTCCTCAGGCTGACGGTGCTGGCTGCTGCGGGTGCTCAGTGCCAGGAAGCAGAATGACCGCTAGAAGCAGAGGAACGCAAGGGGAGGGGGGAGGCAGCCATTGCTGCTCCTTTTCTCTCTCTCTCTCTTTTTTTTTTGAAACCCCTGGAAGGGTATTTCCATTTTTTCAATAAGACTACAAACTGCAAAGAAAAATATAGGAGGGGGAACTACAACCATAGATAAAGAAAAGATACCCACACTAACTAAAAACCCAAGAGTGGGAGACCCCCTTTATGTTAAACTTAATGTTAGTATTAAAAGAGTTAGTAAAACAATATACTTGTAGAGTTCTTGTTTTTCACGTTGTTCTGTATTAGTAAATTAGATATTATGAGAGAACTTTCTGAGCATCTTCTTTATTTCTAAGAGCCATTTATCAGAGCCCTTCTGCCCTTACTTCAGCTTTCTGTCTCTAAAATCATATACAGTTTTCATTGCTCCCGCTTTGCTGCTCCTTCTCGTAGCTCCATCACTGCTCCTCAACCCAAGAAAACTCAGAGGGGCCCAACTGCCCCTGGAGACCTGATCCCACCACCGTCACTACTCTCACTGCTGTTTGCAGTTGGCAGAAAGCCCCCTGGCGACCCTTGGCTGCTGTCAGTTGCCCAGTGGCGCCCACCCCTGCTGCTGTCCCTGTTTCCATATAGACATGCCCTCAAAATCACTCGTCGGAGGTGGCCATAACCCGACAGAGTGGCTTTCTAAGGCTGAGTGGCAGTTTTAACAGCAGAGGTTTTCTTTCTCCGCTGCAGGCTTGTTGCTTATTCCTAACAGCTGACTGCCCAGAGTAAGGAGCGAGGCGTATGAGGGGGACAGACATTAAATATTTGGGGAGGCTCAGAGTTTCCAAGGATGGACTTCCCATGGCAGGTGACTGAGCTGATGTTTCCAATCTGAAATGCCCAAATTTCTCTGCAACTGTACTGTCTTTTCTGGTGGACCCGTATCTCAATGTTTTGTATTATACATATACATACCAGAGATACAAATTAGCAGGGCCGGCTCCAGCTTATTTTGCACCCTAGGCGAGGATCCCTTCTGGGGGCCCCGTGCACCCACCAATTTTTAAAAATAAATGCATTTTAGGAAGAATGAAAAACACAAATAATCAAGAAACTCCCAGAGTACGGGGCCGGGTGCAGTTTGGTGCCCCTAAGGGCCGTCCTGCTCTAGGCGATCACCTAGTTCACCTAGTGAGTGAGCCGGCCCTGCAAATTAGTTGAACACCAGTACCCAAGAATACAAATCCAAACCAGTCCTGCACTCACTTCACAGACTTACAGCGCTATCCTAAGCAGATAGATTCAGGTGGGGTCACCATGTTGGTCTGAAGCAGCAGAACAAAGGCTGATTCCAGAGGGGCACCTTTAAGACCAACAAAGTTTAATTCTGGGTGCGCAAAGTTTTATTCTGCATGCACACGAAAGCTTATACCTGGAATAAAACTTTGTCGGTCTTAAACGTGCCCCTCTGGACTCAGCCTTTGTTCTCCTAATCGGGGTTAAAAGGTAAAGGTTTCCCTTGCTCGAAAGCCAGTCAAGTCCGACTCTGGGTTGTGGTGCTCATCTCTGTTTCAAAGCCGAAGAGCCAGCGCTGTCCGAAGACGTTTCCATGGTCATGTGGCCGGCATGACTAAACACCAAGGCACACGGAACGCTGTTACCTTCCCACCGAAGTGGTACCCATTTCTCTACTTGCCATGTCTTGCTTTCGAACTGCTAGGTTGGCAGGAGCTGGAACTAGAGACGGGCGCTCACTCCATCATGCGGCACCCGGGTCTCGAACTGCTGAACTACCGATCTTCCACAGCCTGCAGTTCAGCATCTTAACTACTTGAGCCATCGCAGCTCTCATGTAACCTTTAATCGGGGTTACAACTTTTTAAACCCACTACATTCAATGGGCTGAGAAGCGTGTCCCTGTGCTTAGGGTGGCACTGCCAACAGTCTTCACCAGGGTCGTCAGCTGTATAATGCACAGAATCTCCACACCTTGGGTAGCTGCGTAACACCCGTGATTTTAACAGGGAAGCATTTCCCCCGGATGAAAGCACAGTGATGCGTAAAGCTGTATCACTGAATTTCTGCCTGCTGCGTGGCCATTAAAAGCCTTTGTTCACCACGCAGCAGTCTCACTTCCCTTCTCAACACATAAAAACATACCTGCAGCCATGTCCTGTTCCCAAATCACAAGGGTGTCTGAAAGCAAAGTGTTCCTCCTTTCACCTGTACTTTCTGCCGCCCCGGTACACCGTTTTTATACACCTTGGGGGGGGGGGGAGAGTCCCCATGCATTAATGCATCCGTGTGCAGGGGGGT